GGACTAGTGTCCCAAAGACACTTCTTGCCCGGGTTCTTTTATAGAACAAAGAGGGGGAGGTGAGGAAGTAAAGTAAAAGAGGGAATAAACTGTTGCAAACATTTTCTGATTCTGGCCATACTCTGGAGGGAAAGTGTTAATTACTTCTTTCCTACAGCCATTCACAGGTGGGCCTGGTCAGGATGTTTCCTGTGAACTAAACAAAGGTAATTTAGCTTAATGCTCAGGCATGAGAGGCAGGGTTCCCTGAGATGGGCCATTCTGTCTACTTTAAGCTACAGGCAACATCTCTTTAGTGATTAACTTGTAACAAAAGCAATAGAATACAAAGGTTAAAGTAAAAAAAAAAAAAAACAAAAAACAGATCCAATATGGAGTCAGACTTGTTCTTCCATATTACATAAGGAGAAATTGTAGGAGTGTTGGAGTCAGCATGCAGCCAACTAGAGGTGATGTAAAGGTTCCGAGTAGTCTGTCCCAGAAGAAAGTCAGAAATGTGCAAGGACTAGGCCAGGGGACTGGACCATTGTCTCCTAGTTCTGCTTTTCTTCCCATGAGGCTGAGTGAAGGGAAGAGGAACTGGAATTGAGTGGTGAGGGACCAAGTGGGAATAGTGAATTCTCCGGGATTGTGGTGTGAATGCAGTTTACATTTTGATTATGGGGTCCATATGGAAGGTAGCGGAAAGAGGCTGGGGCATGGAACAGCTCAGCAACTGGAAGCTGTCATGTCAAAGAGCTGCTTTCTTGGTGTGCGGGATGTAGCTATGAGCAGCCACAGGACTTGTGATCACAGGGAGGACTTTTACCATTGAGGGTTCAGGCATGGAGTCTGGATGCAGCTGATTCATGTGTGTGGCTGAGGTGAGATGGGCATAATGTTGATAGGACAGGAGCAAAGTCTAAATTGAGAAAAAATCACTCCCTCAGGTTAAGAAAATACCAAAAATATGAATATTAAAATGAGTGATAAGAATTGATAAGTTATTGCCTTGAGTTGCACTTAGAGTCAAATTGTACTGGAGTCCCATCTACCACATCCATCTTACAGTTCTTTTCTGGGAGAGTTATTCTTTTACCAGCATTTATGAATGCACTATGCTATGAAAAAAACACACTTACTGAAGAGAATTTTAGCCTCCACGACTGACTAACTCAGAATTCCATTTTTAAAAAGCTATAAAGTGAAACAAAAGTGACAGACCAACTGCGTGGAATGCTAAAGGGTCAAAGCATTTGTGAGATTGCCAATTTTAGAACCATACTCCATGGCAGGAGATGAAAAAGTATGTTTTTCCATGTGAATCATAGCAGTACAGTTTTATAGACTACCTTAGGATTTGCTACTACTGAAAACCAGGATAGTAACACGAGCTTGAAACTCTAAGTAGGAGCCAGCTAAGGAGAAAGCCAAATTGAAATAAGTGAAGAGTAACTAAAACCCCTGGGAAATCTTATCTAAACTCCAGGCTGCACACCCACCCTGACAAGCTCCCTAAGCTTTGTAGGCAACACCAATCTAGTCTTAACATTGCCTCAGCCAATGCGCAGCCTGCTTGGCCAGGAGAGTGATTTCAGCCATTAGAAGATGAAGTTCAATTCTTCAACAGAGAGAATTTCTCTGTCCTCCAAACATCCTGTAGGAACTCTTTTTATAGATTTTTTTGTTTTGCTTTACCATTCTTTTCACAAAATACACTTATTCTGGGAATAGAGTGACAGTAAAAAAAGAAAAAAAAGGAAGAAAATCAATTTATATTTCCTACAACCTCTAAACATAAATCACCTTCATAGTGTTGTTGGTTTGCCTATTTTATAACAAATCACCTATAGTTTAATAACAAAAATAAAAGTACATCCTGTAATGCTCTAAACTTATAAGTAAAAGCATTCCAAACAGTTCTCCCTCAGGAAATATGGGATGACTTACTCTAAAATAGAAATACCCTTGTCTAGACTAAAGGCATGCCGTGTGCAAATTATTCCTGTAGCGGCAACACTCAGCTATCTGATCTCTCATCATTGTCCCCATCCTTTGGGCTTTCTGCCATCCCTGTATTTATCTGCTTGGTTTTTAATTCCTTCAAGTCCTCGGCACTACTGCGGTTCAAAGTGAGCTGTTTTTATAATCCTTTATGAAACAAAAGCTGGGCTAGTAGTGGTCAAGTTTCATAAGAAAAACCATTGAGGAAATGCCAGTGGGAAACTGGACATCACCTAGCATAGTCCCAATGGTCCTGCTTTAATAGCATCACAAATGTTGGAAAATTGACTTCATTTTGTGCCAACAACAATTCTACACTAAAAACAGCAATGACCAGAGGCATTCAGAGTGATGGGCTGACTTCACTGAGGGTATTGTGTCCTAGACTCATGCTTCCATGTGGGAAGAAAGTGGTAACTCCTGTAGGGCCTCTGAACTTGGGGTTTTCGATTACTCCTGTTGGCAATTACTGACGACCTCCCTCCCTAAGTAAGCAGGGTCAAGACTGATTTCAAGCTCTGCAACTGAGAGTGGGTCATGATGGCACTTGGTTAGGGGGCACAGAGCAAAGTGGCACCAAAGTGTGTGTTATGGGGTAAGGCAGGCCCAAGAAGCCAGAGACCCGGTCAGGTCTAGAAAACGGGTGAAGAGCAAAAATGGGAACCAAACCAACAGCTTTGCAGTTTGGGTCAGAGGAGCATGAACAACTGGGCTTGGGAGCCTGCAGATTTACCTGAGCAGAAGAACTCAGGGCTGTAGCTCTCTACGAAGTGTCTGTGGCAGAGCAACTGGGAAGCAGAGGAGCCATTATGGGCTGTAAGAGGTTCAGTCATGAACAAACTAATCACAATCATCTCGGTGCATTTTTAGAATGAAATAAGATAATGTACGTGACAGTACTTTGGAAAGTGTAATGCAAATGGGAAGTGTCATTATTATTGCCATTAACGTCATTATCGTCATCATGAAGCCCAGAACATCTAATAAGTCTACACACTGGAAAAGAATGAAGAAAAAAAAAATAAGAATCTGATTCTTTACTCAACAATTTAGATGCTAAATATCCGGCACAGATGTAATTAGAAGTAAAATGATTTCATTAATGTGTACAAAACCTAAATTAAAAACGTATCTCATGTACAAGTTTAGGGAAAATTTATATTAGTGGTGGAAGGCTAAGGCAGGTACATCTGTGGACCTAACGTGTATAAACGATGTCCAAGTACAATAGATAGTGCTTCTGTGAAAAATGTGGGAAGACTTCGCATATCAGGAGAGATTTCAGAATCTTTTTAAACTTTATGAAACACAACTTTACGGTCCAGGTGAAAGCCCGCACATTGTCAGATCACATAGTTTTACACACAGAATGTTCTCCATTTCTTTTGATGTGTTCTGTCCTGGCTAATGAAAGTGAAACTCCTTAAGGGCAGACCCTAATCTTCCCTGATCTTGCATGCTGCCAGAAAAGTGCTAAGTACTCTGTAGGTATCTAATGAGTACTTGTTTGATTACAGCTGAAGTAACAGTGTACTCAGAGCAAGGCCAAGTATTGACCAAGGACAGAGCCTAAGTGCAGTGAATGAGCAGAGTAAATAGGAAACAGGAGACAAAGTAGGATACAGGAAAAAAAGAAGTGAACCAAACGAGGCCTTTGAAAAATGGTTTAAAAAAATAATCTTTTAGATCTGTACAAAGCCACCCTGAACTTTCTAGAATGAAAGAATAAAACAATAGGCTGAAAAAAACAGATACAGGGGCTATTAAGTGGACTGGGGGAAGGGTAGGATATTTTCAAAGGTATGAAGTCCAGCAAGAAGAAATTATAGGATGGACAAGGGATTGAGGAGGAAAGTGCTACGCAGAGGAATCTGACACCCAGGTGAACTTGCAGATCAAAGGATAGAGAAGACAAGAGAATGAAGTGTGCTATTTGTGTAATAGGCTGTTAAAGCAAAATTCTCTCTGCCTCAGTTTTGGTTGAAACCCCAAAGAAGGCAGGCAAAACTGAGGTGCTAAGTACCCCTTTCCTATTTCAAAGTATGATGATACATCCTGTATGCAGGAATTATACAGGGAATAAAAGACAAGCCAAAAAAATCTAGTGGTAGATAAGAGGTTGATGTTACAAAGAGGCAGGCCTGGTTTGGGAGATAATTTCTTCAGAAGTAGCTACTTGAGTGTTGTGGCATTCTTTCCCACCCCATCCCTACCAGAGGTCAGGAAAGGAGTGTACTTGTGCTTATTCCTCACATCAAGCAGAGACATGTGAGCTTCAAGAAAGCCACTTGGAAAGCTTAACTTGGAAGTCTAGAGTTTGTGAGCTTCAGAGACTGGTACCAGACCCACATCTAAAAAAGCAAAAAGGTGAGATGGTGGCTGGCCAGCTCTCCAGGACAGCAGAGCAGAAAGGGCTGCACTGGGAGTGGCTGGACTTGTGCTGAAGGTGGACATGTGGAGAGAGCTGGCCTGGAGTTATTTTGATCCTGCCCAAGAGGCTCACCTGAAGGAGTAATAGGACTCCAGCAGCACCCAGCCCAGACAGCATCAGTGCCATATCATGGTCTTATCCAGCAAGTAAACCTGTCCTGGTTTCACCAGTCCTCTCTCCTACTCACTCCATTTCTAGGGAGAAGGGAAAGGCTACCTAGAGAAAGGTGGTGGTGGAAAAGCATAAGGAAGGGAAGTGGAGAGAGGGCTACCTAAGCAACCTACCACCCAGTCCCTTTCCCCACCATAGACCCAGGAGAAGAAAATAAGTGAGTCAGTCTAGTAGTGAGAAGTTTTTCATGTGAAAAACTTGCAGGAGTCAGCAGCAGGAGCGGCTTCGGCCTTGGCGGGAGACCAAGGTGAAGGCAACGGCGACGCGGGGCATGTGAGGCAGCGGTGGTGGAGGAGGCGGCCCCGGGGGACCCCGCCTACCAAAGGAATTTGGAAAACTCGTAAGCAAAACATTTCTCTAAGAAAATTTTGGGTTTCAGAAATTCTGGATACCAGGGCAAACCAATTCAGTCACCATGAGTAGGAGCTTCGTCACTTGCCTGCCGGAGGAGATCCACAACCACTCCACGTTTGTGAGGAAGATCTGGCTCACGGTATTGATCTTCTTCCGGATTGTCCTTACAGCCGTAGAAGGAGAACCCATCTATTACGACGAGCAAAGCAAATTTGTGTGCAACACAGAGCAGCCAGGCTGCGAGAACGTCTGCGATGATGCCTTAGCACCCCTCTCCCACATGTGCTTCTGTGTGTTCCAGATCATCCCGGTGGCGACCCCCTCTGTCATGTACCTGGGCTATGTCATTCATAAGGTTGCCAAAACGGAGCACGGTGAAGCAGACAAGAAGGCCCATCGGAGCAAACCTTATGCAATGCATTGGAAACAGCACCAGGCCCTGGAAGAAACGGAAGAGGACCATGAAAAGGATCCCACGGTGTATCCAGAAATGGAATTAGAAAGTGAAAAAGAAAATAAAGATCAGAACCAATCTAAACCTAAGCATGATGGGCAATGGCGGATTCGGGAGGATGGGCTCATGAAAATCTACCTGCTGCAGCTGCTGGCAAGGACCATGTTTGAGGTGGGTTTTCTGATCGGGCAGTACTTTCTGTATGGCTTCCAAGTCCACCCATTTTATGTGTGCAGCAGGCTTCCTTGCCCTCATAAGATAGACTGCTTTATTCCTAGACCCACTGAAAAGACCATCTTTCTTCTGTATGTATGGTGTCACAGGCCTTTGCCTATTGCTTAACATTTGGGAGATGCTTCATTTAGGATGTGGGACAATTCGAGACTCACTAAACAATAAAAGGAGGGAACTGGAAGATCCAGCTGCTTATAATTATCCTTTCACTTGGAATACACCATCTGCTCCCCCTGACTCTAACATTGCCATCAAACCAGATCAAATCCAGTACACCGAACTGTCCAGCAACACTAAGATTGCCCACAAGCAAAATAAGGCCAACATCACCCAGGAACAACAGTACGGCAGCCATGAAGACAACTTCCCAGCTGACCTGGAGACTCTGCAGAGGTAAATCAAAATGGCTCAGGAATGCCTGGATCTGGCAATCCAGGCCTACAATCACCAAAATAACCCCCATGGTCCCCGGGAAAAAAAAGCTGGGTCTAACAAAAGCAGTTCTAGTAGCAAATCAGGGAATGGGAAGACCTCTGTCTGAATTTAATCTTGGCTGGGCTTAAAACTTGTGCTTTTCATAGTTCATGGTAAGCAGCGGCTCACTGAATAATGACTTCCACTGAGTAAACATTTGGCTGTGGTTATTTTCAGGGACACTGTTAGCTCATGATCCAAGCTCAGGGGACTCTGAAGGTGGGGCTGGGACAGGGGGAAGAGAAAGGGGAACACAGTGTTCCTGGACACATGTTCCAGCAATACACTTGCAGAATTTTACATTTGTGTCTTCCAGATCTGGAAAAGAACAGATATATTTAAATCATTCTCGTTGAACAGTTTTTGTATGTACAGTATTATGGTACTTTTTTTTTTTTAGTATGAGAACTTTTTTTTATATTATTACATTGGACCACTGTACTTATACTTTTATATTAAAGGGGAAAAAAATCCTTAAGATAAAAAAAAAAAAACCTCGCTTTTCTGTGGCCCTAAAGCTTTGTAACTATGGCCAATGGATAAAAGTTGCAGGGGCAATATTTATATATCAATATAAGGAAGGACATGCTTTTTAAAATTGAATAGATTTGACATACAACATTGTACAAATTTAAGGTATATGATATGCTAATTTGATATATTTATATACTGTAATATGATTGCCATTGTAGCAATATTTAGCACCTCTATCATGTTACATAATTATTCCTTCTTTTTAGTAGATGCGATAGTTAAGTTTTAGTCTCTTAGCAAGTTTGATGATTATAGTACACCATTGTTATCTCTATTCATTATACTGTGCTTTAGATCTCTACAGCTTATTTTCTAGTTTGTTTTCTTGAGAAACATCAGTCTTATCCCCCTGCCCCCCACCCCCTGGTATCCAACATATTACTGTTTGTTTTTTATGAGTTTGACTTTTTTAGATTCCACACTTAAGTGATATCATAGAGTACTTGCCTTTCTCTATCTGACTTAATCTCACTTAGCATAATGTGCTCAAAGTTCGTCTGTCACAAATGGCAGCAGGATACCCTCTTTCCTCATGTCTAAATAATATTCCATTGTGTGTGTGTTTATAACACGCACACACATACACACACACACACACATACATACACACACACACATATATATATCACAACTTTTTCTTAACAAAATACCAAACTTCAGCATCAGAATTTGCTGAATTTCATCTCATGAGGAGTTCCTAGCATCATGGGAAGAGGAAATTTCCAGAATGGTTGCAGGATCTTCCTAATTTGTTTACTGTTAAGACTCTATGAGTAAAATTCATAAGACTTCGTTCCGGCCTTTCTTCAAGTACTGGATTTAACTTTACAGGACATGGTGGTGATTTCAAACTGCATAATAAAAATTTAGGGGCTTCCCTGGTGGCGCAGTGGTTGAGAGTCCGCCTGCCAATGCAGGGGACACGGGTTCGTGCCCCGGTCCGGGAAGATCCCACGTGCCGCGGGGCGGCTGGGCCCGTGAGCCATGGCCGCTGAGCCTGCACGTTCGGAGCCTGTGCTCTGCAACGGGAGAGGCCACAACGGCGAGAGGCCCGCGTACCGAAAAAAAAAAAAAAAAAAAATTTAGATCTTCATTATATAAAGTTGTCATAAACATTTAATGGCCCCCAGAAATACTTAGGAAAATAATTTGGCCTGCTCTTGGTTAGAAATCATGCTCTGAAATACAGCCGGGTGGCTAAGTATTTACAAAGTTTTCTCCTTGACTTCCAAGTACTCCCTCCAGAAATTCTCTGTATTTAACAGCATCATTTCATTGAAACTGATCCAGGGTGGTGACCTTCAAAATGAGGATCATTTATCCCCCATGCGCTGCACTGTTCTTATGCTCTTCCCTCTTCACAGTCACTGTAGATTTCACCTACCTTAGTAAAATAGAAAATTGATAAGACATAAAGAGAACACCCTGGCATTTGTCACCATATTTAAATTACCCTAGGATCCTATATGTCTGCCAAGGTGGAAGCAACCGATAGAGTAATGGTAGGGTTCAAAAACCACCCCAAGGGGAGCCAGGCAGCAGAGGACCCCAGGTGCCTTCCCTTCCTTCTGTTGCCTCAGCAGCAGTGCCAGGCAAATCTCAACGCCTATTGTGAAAACACATTTCCCTGCATCCTATAACCATGACAAGTACAACAGGATGCTCATTTATGTAAAATGACAGTTCCGACAGAAGTTATACGTTTCTCACTATTGATATAGGCAATGGAGTGGATGAGAAACAAACAAGAATCTTAGCCTCAGTCAACTTGTTGAATTCTTCCGTAAATATATTCTGAGTTCTGATTATGCGTTGAGCACAGTTCTGGGGTCTATGAGAGAGGCAAAATAGAAATCAGACATGATCCCCTATACTTTAAATTAATCTAACTAAGGGGCCAAAATCAAAGTCAGTGTTCAAGAAGAATGCTAAGCATTACCGGAATTCAGTAAAGAAGAAACATTAATTTAGTTTTTATCTGCAGAATCAGTTGGCATGATAGGTATGTAATTTACCCGCTCTTTTTTTACTCCCATGAATGATCTTGCATTTGATTCAACAAGCTTTTGTAAGATGCCTATGATATTTCATCTACAAGATATTTGTCAGGAATGTGTATATATTATGGGTACTTTGATTTTCAAATATGCATTGATTCAAAATTGTTTATTTTATATATAATTTAAATAATGTATGTGTGCCAGCATTGTCAACATAAGGATAAAGTCTTTTATCAAGCCAACACTCTATCTGTGAAGGTGTTTTTGGAGGTTATATCTTCTCCTTTTTCTACTTTTACTATTGTAGAAAGAGTCAGAGTGTTTAAGCCATAAAGACATGAATTCAAATCCCAACTTTACTACCTACTAATTGTATATTCTTGGGCAAATTCTTTTATCCTCTTTGCGTATTAATATAAAGTAACATAAATAAAATGCTTGGCATATGTGGGTCAATGATTTTTGGAGCTGGATGATGTACATGGGCTTCATTGTACCATTGTTTATGTTTGAAATTTTCTTAGTAAAATACCTTCTCTGGTTCTCACTACGGGCACCCTCATTCTCTGGGTTATTTGGATTTGAAGACATGTGGGTATTGTCCACAGCTAACCCTTGTTAATTAATTCTTCCCCTAAAATGTCCCTGACATCCTCTCCTTTTTTCCATGACTTCCAACAGTTCCAAAGGATTCCTTACTATCCTACTCCAATAAGTTCTTTACCACCAGCTTCATCTTACAGTATTAAGGTCATTATGTCGGTTACATGCTTTTCTACTGCCCCAAGGATTAAATTCCAATCCTAATTTGGCTCCTATTTACTCTCAAGCCTCCCATTCCTCATCTTTAGGAGTACTCAGGCACACTATACTTGGTCATCCCTGCTTTGTTACATTGTCCAGGAAAGCTTTTGTTCGCCTGTGTTTTCCACCCCTCTCCAAATCCTACCATTCCCAATCCAGTGCCACCTCACCCCCTGAGCCTTCTTTATAATTCCAAACCTCATTGATTTCCCCTCTGTTGACTCTCCACAGAATTGTCTCTCAATACCATCATTTGGATACTTGATCCCATTATTGTTTTATCTTCTAAGTGGATATGGTAGCAAGCGTCCAAGATAACTCCCAACATCTACACCCTTGTGTGTTCAACTTCCATATTGGAACAGCGTTGGCCTTTGTGACCCACAGAGTATGGCAGACATGACAGTGTGGGAGTCCCAGACTAGGTCATAAGCGGTATCGCAGCTTAGCCTTACTCTCCTGAATCACTCACTTGGGAGACACGTCATAAGGACACTCATGCAGCCCCGTGGAGAGGTCCACGTGGATAGGAACCAATTTACCAGCATCAACTTGCCAGCCATGTGAGTGAGCTACCTGAGAAATGGATCCTTTCTCCAGAATCTAGTCAAGACCAACAGCCACATGAGAGGACTGGGGCAAAACTGTCTATCTAAGCCACTTCCAAACTCCTGACTTACAGGAACTGGGAAAGATAATACATGATTATTATTTTTTAAGCCACTAAGTTCTGAGGTGGTGATTTAAATAATAAGTAGAAAAATAATAGTCTATAACTCACCTCCCAACTGCACTGTAAGCTCCTTCAGCATAGCATATTTGTTTAAATTTTTAATATCCAGGCAATTATTCAGATACCATTCAACACTGTAGCAAAATTAGACACTGCATATGGGATTAGAGAAAGGAACCATCATTTATTGAATGTTTACTAAGGGACTTCACATATGCATGAGTTTTATATGCATCAAAATGGCTACATACATAGATATAGAACAAGATGCTCCCTAAATACATAAAACATTGTACTTGAGCTGTAAAGTTATGAAGTCAGTTTTTCTCTCTTTTATCATCATTTCCCAGACATGGTTTTTTAAGGGGGATTACGTGAGTGAGAGCATCTAATAAGCTATAAAGTGTTCTATAGACATAAGGCATTGTGGCTTGCATCAATTTATTTTTCTATCAAGTTAAAGTGCCTTAATACTTCTACTCTGGTACTTATTTTGCTTTGCTAAACTAGAATTAGACATGTCACTGTGATACAAACATCTCTGACTTTCTGAAAACCAGTGAAACGGCAAAAGAAAGAAGTGTCGTGGCTTTGGTACTGTACTGTCTCTTTGGTTGTTACGTGCCCAGCAGATGTCTGTTAACAATTGCAGTTGTCAAGGTCTCTGAAGGAAAGAGATGGCCCACTCACATGGGTAACTGAGGACAGTTTAAAAGGGTTAAGAGAAATGACAGGAAAGGAGGGAACGGTTAATGGAATCCAGAGAAAGTAACTTCAGGAGAAGTCCCTCCAGCAGCTGTGGCCTTTGGTAGAGAATGTAGGCAACTGGTCGCAGCCTAACAGGGAGGGGCCAGAGGGAATCAATTCTTGGACTTGACCCTCCTTGTACATTTTCCTCTCCTGCCCATGCTCCACACTGGCTGAATGCTAACCAAGCCAGAGAGTAAGGCAGTTAGCTGGGATGATGCAGTTTGTACTGATCAGCTTCCTGGGGCACAGAGTAGGATGGAGAAGAGAAGAGGATTAATTGAGGATGGGCAGTGGGAAATTTC